AAATATTTGAAAAACTAGTATATAAACAACTCATTAATTATATTGAAAATTACAACATTTTGTTCGAGTTTCAGTTTGGTTTTCGGAAAAATCATTCCACCTCTCATGCTATAACTGAAATTGTAGACAGTCTTAAACAAGCAATCGATGATAATACACAGGACGAAAAGCGCACCTTTAATATGCTATTAAAGTAGGATTAATGGTGTATTTTATTCGTGTTTAGTCGCACTTAATGCGTTTTATTAAAGAGATTAAAGGTGCGTTTTAACACCTTTAGTTCGTTGCATTAAGTGTATTAACGACCACATTAATACCCAGAGATTAAAGTTCAATAAAGGATACTAAGTGTGCATTTAATTCAGCCGATTAAAGACCGATAAAATGCGGTTAAAGATGTATTTAGTCGCCTTTAATATTGGTAGAATTGTTGATTAAAGACAACTTTAATCATACAAAAATGTGTTGCTTATAGGTTATTAAAGGTAAATTTAATCAGTTGATTAAAGACCGCTTAAAGCGACATAAAGAATGAATTAATCACATTTCATACATTGATTAAACTTTGTGTAAGTGCCATTTTAGTTCTATTTAGTCGCTCTATTATATTTGCAATAAGTTGCATCTCTTGTGACGTTGGGCTTTTTATTGCGCGTTTTAAATTGAAAATCTCGAATTTGTGTCATATTTTCTGACAATACAGTATTATTCATGGATCATGATTACAAAAACCCGGTCTTGCTTGACTCAAGGTTCATGCTTCGGTAATTATTATAAGAACATGTAAAAATCAGAGTAATCATTTGTAATAATGAAATGCAACATTAACTCAAATATACAACACGCGTTCATCTTTAAAATAAATTTATTATAACATATACATATACATATACATATACATATACATATACATATACATATACATATACATATACATATACTACACCCGTTCATGTATGAAAATTAAACTAAGATTATATATCGAACTAAAACATTTATAATAAGCCAGACTAATCCTTACGTACGATAATGTTATCCGCAGTTTACAAGGAAATATAGAAAACGCTATACGAAAACGGATTTGTGCGGACAAAGACCCGGTATAAAAACGGAACCTAAAATTATCACGTTTTGAGATTGGCTTTGTAAGATAAAAGTGACTAATGTTTGTGACTCGTTCTTTAGAAAATTCTTTTCAGCTGGCAAAAATTGTTGCCAATTTATGTACAATACACTGTAAATTTCAAGGAGTCTGTATAATTAACTCCAAAATGTTATTCTGTAGTCGTTTTAGACCTTTTTGGTTACAAAATAAAACATTTTGAGTTGATTGAACTCCTTGAAATTTACAGTGTACACAGCTAAATTCACTTATATTGCCCTGGAAACGGTAAAAGGCAATTAAGACTAAAACAGAGCGGGCAAAGCCAAGCGAATAATCCTTAAATTTTTAGCGCTGGTCCTAACTGGCAGCTGTTTCATAATGTATTTCAAGTAATTAACGAGCCCGTTCCCTCTATATAGTGGCGGATTTGTGTCAACATCTGCGACTTGCGCTGGTCCATTTTCAACCTCATGCATATGTGCCCAATCTGCATGGACAGTTGGCCGTGTTCGCTGGTTTGCCAGGTTCGATGGTTCCCCTTGCTATTATGAGTCATGACTCTCCTTGATAGTCCAGGCAGAAAATCCTAGTGATTCTTTATCGATTCTTCTTTGCTTTCCCAGGCAAACTTTCGCACGTTGTACTGTTTTACCCTATAAGTTTCTTCGTCCATCTAGCTCACTTTTGTCGGATGACATGTACTCCATCGTCGGAGGCCATCTGCCACCTTTGACACTCTTTCCTGGCTCCAGTTAACTTTATTAAGATGTTTGAATGTTCTTGCCAGTTTCTAAAAATGAACACAGTTAATATTAGCAACATTATATTGTATGGTAACAGCTAATTGAAAAAAGGTTATCCTTCGAAAACCTTTGAAACTCTAAGCACGCAAAGAGTTGGGTTTAGGGCTTTTGATTTGGCAAATAATCCTAGTACGCTGCTATAGTTGTACATTATACTGCTTATGATCTATCTATCTTGTCATAGTTACAATACAAAATCCGCAAGTTTTAGGCCTAAGGCTAAGCAAGATAGGCCGGTAAGCAAGATCTCGCTCACACTGTGTAGTTATTTTTATAGTAAAAATTGCTGCGCATTTATATAGACAAGCGGGCTGCCAGATTGCCGAGATCTTGCTCGAAAGAGGCGAGATCTCGCTTACTGGGATGGAAATGTCTGCATATAAACACTCACGAGCGGGCTATAGGCCGTTTTCCAGGATGAAAGTTCAAATATACCGCCGCAAGCTATTTTTAACTTACTGTCAAAACAATAAAATATATCAAACAGAATAACAAAATTGTCCCGGCAAGCGGGATGAATTTTTCTCATATAAACACAAGAGAAATTCATCCCGCATCTCGTACTGTCTGCAGGACAGTCTGGCTTCTATATATGCATGAACAGGCTACGAAGGCATTACCGTATTGAGACACTCGAATGTATGAAATTAATACTGGCAATTTTAAGAAGCAGGTAATAATCAGTTGCATGCATATAATATAATATAATTTAAAGACTAATTCGGTGAATCCATTGTGCTGTATATTTAGCTAAACTGAAAATACTGGACTGACTGGACTATACAGTGATATATGTATATGTCATTGATTTTGAAAATGATTTCAAATTTGGAGCCAATATTTCAAATAAAGTGTATTTTTATAAATAACGGTCAAATGGACAAAGTTTTTTTTATATCCATATACTGTACGAAGCAATGATGCATTGTCTGACAATTGTAAACGGAAATATACACTGTATAAATAAACGTTTCACATGTACTTACATTGCAAGCCTTGCCCTTGGGCACTCTCTGTATATTTTTCCCGTTTGTCTGAGTGTCTGACTCGTCTCTCAGAATAAGATCGAGTAATGATATCCATCTTCTCGTTGAAATTCTTCAGCGCATTCTCACTCCCTGTACTTGTATTGGCTATTATTTTGTTCTCTAAGGAGCTTGTTTTCCTCTACGATATTTTGCAACAACAAAACATACTGGTCCAGTCATATCGAAATTACAGCTAGCAAGTATCGAACTGTGACTGTGACAGCTATAAAGGCCAGACGTTTATTGTAAAAGCAACGGGAATTGGACTTCGAACTATTGTTCACAGTAGGAATCTTTCGTAGTATCAGATTTCGTCTGTACACTAGGGAGGTCACCCACGCACAAATCAAATCCGCCTTCATCCAAAAGGCAACGAGCAAAGTAAAAATTTGGCTTGTTAACATATAATTGAGTAATTCGAAAATTGATTCCATCCATAGTTCTTCTATAATCGTGAACGGCTTATGTTTACACCGTCAGATCGAGGTTTTATTACACAGCCTACAGGGGATCAGTAACCCGACCGGGAAAAGTTTAAAATAGCGCGAGCGGGAATATAGCATTCAAATTATACCTACATAGAACCTCGCAGCGACAGTTTAATACAACAACCTTCAATTCTGTAAAGCTTTTGGTGGTATACCTTGCGCAAAGCCGGTTGAAATGGCGCATTTTAACCAGCATTCCCACACAGCGAGTGGCGCACTTGCTACCAGTGGAATGCGCAACCTTCTGGAAGCTATAATCCCAGTACCTCCATAAGCTGAACAGAATTGTCAATTGTCTACCTACAAAATAGCGACGTCTCAATACCAAATTACACCGAGGAACGACGTCTTAAACGCAACAGACGTAATGAAAGTTTGTGCCGAGAAAGAGTTTGGAAATGCCAAACAAAGGCGTCTCACGAATAAAATAAAGAGTCAGATTGAGAACGAGACCAAGGCCGTATATCTCAGCTACGATCGAGGGCAGTGTATTATGACCTATTATTTTATTGGAGAAAGTGGAAATACGAAGGATCCTTGTGTAGAACGACTAGCTGTGTGTAAGTACATGTAGAAATTGTATGTAGTTCATATACAAAATAAAGAAATTGTCTATCTGAAGCTGGATAGCTAAAAAATGATATAGTCAGTTTCTGTTTTAGGTATTTTGCCTTTGGCGATAAAATTATATTTGTATATTTATATATGTCAATAGAATAAACTGTCCAAGCGAATTGCGCTGTCTATATAAGCGCCTAAATTCATGTTTATACTGTAATATTCAGCATAGCTCTAATTCTGTTAAATTATCGACAGTGTGTGTCAGGTTTTGTCTTCATTTAAGATAAAACTAAACGTGATTAAATGTTATTTCTGCCTTTAGTCAACATTTAATCTGCGCATTAAAGGTAATTAAAGTATGTGCGGTTTAATGTTGGTTTTAACTCGCTTTAATATCCTCACTAAATGCAATTAAGTGTATCAGTTTCCAAAAGAGGTGTTTTATTCAGAGTAAATGCGATTAAATGTAACTTTTTATTTAACCACCTTTAGTCAGCTTATTAAAGGTGTAAACACACATTTAATATCTTTAGTATCTTTGCTAAAGCTGATTAATGACACGCTTTTCGTCCTGTGCTCTCCAAGCAAACTTGACGAAGACACAAGTGCCACTTCAAGACAACGTACCAAAACATGGGTGCAAGACCAGAAACAAAACGTGGCTCCAGACACTAATCTAACCAATGTCACCGGTAGTAGAAAGCTCGGCGTTCGATTTGATGATCAGCCTCGTCAGACGGATCCAATTGCGACTGATCCTGGTTCAGAGCAGTTACCACAACAAATCCCCATCGGTTCCCATCGGTACCCAGAAATCCCCATCGGTCCCCATCGGTACCCAGAAATCCCCATCGGTACCCACTATCCACAACATACCCTCGAGTACACCCACTATCCACAGCATACCCTCGAGTACACCCATCATCCCCATCATCCACAACAGAACCCTGTTCAACCTTACCCACCGTATACAACCGTGGAACACGACCCAGCTACAGTGGTAAACGAATGTTTGGGGGCCGTCGCAGCAACCAACGATAAATTGACCGCCAGTTTAGCAAGAATAAGTCTTCCTAAATGTCACCCCGACATATTCTTCGGCGATGCGACTATGTTTCATCCGTGGAAAAGCTCTTTCAAGGGTATGATTAGCGACTCTGAGATAACCGCAGAACAAGAGATGAACTATTTGCACATGTACACTAGGGGAGCACCACAGAAATTGGTGAACAGTTTTCGCAAAAGACAATATGGCGACTCGAACAAGTTGTTGAAAGAACTCTGGGTGGAGCTAGAAAATCGTTTTGGCAACGTAGCGATCATAACCAATACACTACTGACGCGATTGAAAGAGGCTGCAAAATTCACTGACAGGGATAAGAAAAGTCTGCAGGCGTTTTCAGATCTGTGTATCGATGTGTCTTCCCAGATTAAGCAACTTCCTGGACTTGCCTGTCTGAACTATCCACACACCATCCGACCAATTTTAACTAGTTTGCCAACATCTATTCCTTCCAAATGGGAGAAAAGAGTTGTGGAGTTTGCTGAAAAAAACGCTGACACTTATCCTGATTTCCATGCTTTCGCCAACATGATGAAAAGCCAATCTTGCTTACGGAATTATCCTAACGTCACAGCCACAGATATGCCTGGAAAGTGGAAAGAGAAACCGAAATTCGAAGACCACCATACCATCTTGAAGGGAGAAATCGAAACGGAAGAACAGGAAGATGTTACTAAACATTGCGCCTTCCATGACAGACAAGGACATAATCTATCAGAATGCAGAGCTTTCGAACGTAAGTCTTTGCAAGAGAAGACGGACTGGTTGAGACAAGCTGGACGTTGCTTTCGATGCCTGCAATCAAATCATCTAGCTAGGGAATGTAAAGCCAGCATTAAGTGTAACAAATGTGGAAGCAAGCGTCACTTGGATATACTTCACATGGAGAAGTTAAAGAAGAAAGACAACACGGAAGAAGATATAACATCAGCCCGTACCAACGTCAAATGCCAACCAATATCTGGAGTCTCCTGTAGCAAGATTGTGTTACTCGAAGTTTTCCAACAAGATGAACCCGATCGCGTTATTAAAGTATATGCCTTGATTGACGAGCAAAGCAATTCCTCCATGATATGTCCGAAGTTAGCAGATGAGCTTAGAATAGTTGGACCCAAGGAGAAGTACTTCTTATCTACCTGCGGTGGATCAAAAGAAACTAGATATGGCCGACGCGTGCCTGGATTGGTGGTAAAGTCAACGAATGGAATTTCAATGCCATTGCCGACCTTGGTAGAATGCGAGAATATTCCTACAGACAAACGGGAAATACCAACACCAGAGTTAGTTAAGAAATTCCATCATCTGCGAGATATTGCCAAAGAAATCCCGGCGTTGGACCGGAAAGCCGAGGTTGCCTTACTCATTGGCCGGGACGCTCCTGAACTGATGAAAGTCAGAGAAGTTCGTAACGGACCGATAGGAACACCTTGGGCGCACAAATTGGTTATTGGATGGACTGTCTGTGGAGAACTGTGTCTAAGACGTGAAGGTGGGCCTGTCCATGTGCGAACGCATCGTACCGTGTGTCAAAAGTCGTCCTATCCAGAAATAGACAATATCCACGTGGAACCCAAAGTAAAACCATTGGCCAATTCCTCCCACGAGATCCTGCATCATGAATACATTCCATGCCCAAACATGTTCGAGATAAAAGAACCTCGCGAAAAATTGGAGGACAACCGGGATGACGTCTTTCGCACAACGAGTCACGATAACGAGCAGAGTATGTCCGTAGAAGATCGGCGCTTCATAGAAATAATGGAAACAGGTATCCATAAAAACAAATTTGGAAATTGGGAGATGCCACTTCCCCTTCGAAAGACCAATGTCACTTTCCCAAACAATCGAGGTCAAGCCGCAAGTCGTATGAATAATCTGTTGCTCTCGTTCAAACGCAAACCTCAAATGGAAAAGGACTACTTTCAATTCATGCAGAAACTACTAAAACGGGGACACGCCATACCAGTTCCGCTCAACAAAGTAACGAAGACAACTCATGAGCCAGGAAACGTTTGGTATCTACCACACTTCGGCGTTTACCATCCACGAAAACCCGACAAAATTCGCGTTGTATTTGACTCATCTGCAGAATTTCAT